GTGGTTAGTTATTTTAAATTAAATTATAAAAAATGTAAGAAGTCAAAATAAAAATCCTCTCAAGTCTTAACTGTATCTAATAAAGTCCATCATTACTAAAACAAAACCCTTTTAGGCCTTAATTGTTTCTAATAAAATCCATCATTACTCTCTCTCTCTCTCTCTCTCACAACACACACACTCTACTCTCAATAGCCAATGTTTCTAACATCTTCCCTCCCCCATTAGATCTTTAATTTTTTCTTAAACCTCTTTGACTCTCTTAATTCCTTTTGGCTCTCTTTAATAAAGTAGGGGTATAAATTTAATGGATTTGGTTATGTTAAAGGGACAAACCAAGAACAACCATAAATGGACTCTAGCTAAGTCTCAAATTGATATTAAAAGACAAAACCCAAATAGGGGTGCAACTTGGGTTGGGTTGGGAGTTTTAAATTTAAATGGGCATGAACCCCACCCCAAACCTGATGTAGTTGAAATTCTTCAAATTTGGCAACCTGACTTGTAACCCTAAATTAGGGGTGATCATGGGTTGGGCAAAGCCAAGCTGTGCACCTATGATAAGGGCAAAAGCTTGGGCACATGCCTGATTCGGTTTGCATTATTCTAGCTTGAGATATAAGCTTGAGCGTTGACCTACATTGGCGCAGGCCAGAACTAATTTTGAGCCTAGCTTTTATGTGTAAAATATTAAATATATTATATATTTTATAATATTTAATATATAAAACATAACATAATTTTTTGGTTAAAAATGGGCCTGAAGTATTGGACCCATGCCCAATCCTAAACTTTATGGGCTTGATGTGAACTTAGCCTGAAAATGGTCACCCCTAACATAAACCCAATCCTAACAAAATTCTACTTATCTCTTAAATACATATCTTTAAACCCCTTTTGACCCTCTCTAATAAACTGCGGGTATAAATCAAATGGACTAGATGGGGTTGAGGGCCAACCCAAGACCAACCCTGAACATGGACCTTAGCTTAACTGTGTGAAACCCAAAGTTACCAATCCAAATGTAACCAAATTTCTATTCAACCCCATGTATCACATGGGTTTGCTTGCTAGTAAGCTTTATATAATGAAAAATCCGATTGTACACTTCAGCTTCTTTGAGTAGCTTATCCAAAGTGCTTTAAAGCAGTTGAATAGAATATCTCCCATGAATGACAACATAAGGCTGCATTTGTTTGTAGTCCAAATATAAACATGTTTAGTACATATATGAATATGGTGGTTCATTAAAAATCAAAGTTGGTTCAATTTTACATTGATAAGTTTTGTAGTCTTGACAAATTTTTTGGTTGTGATGAATACAAACATGGAAGTTGTGATAGTTGTAATTTGTAATACACAAATGCATTCTTACCAATTGCTTGTAAAACTTAACCAGAGTGCATATATGTATCGAATCTGCATTTACATTGCAAATTAACAAAGGCAGTCTAAAGTACAAAGGATGTTCCTTTATGTGTGTGGCTATAGGGTCTTGTGGACAATAGCATTTCGGACTTGTTTGGACAATCATTTTGTAAAACTTAGGTGAAATTTCACACAATTTCAATTTTGGATTTTTTAAAGAATTTCAGGATCTTGTGTCACTTGCTTCATCGAAATTTTAGGTTATGCATCATAGAAATAAATGACATAAATATATTATAAAAATATTTAAAAATACATTAATAGCTTAATGAATAAAAATACTTTTGACCAAATGTTTGGAATTTTGAAAATTTTCATTTCAGATATAGGATTTAAAATTCCCAAATTGTCTAGCTTTTATACCTTGGTTCAAGCTTGTTACTTTGGGTCATTCTTCTCTAATCATGCCAATGTGACTTAGAAAAAAAAAAGTGATTACCCAATGTTACCAATGCTAGTCCCAACTATCTGGAGGGCCCTCAATGGGGCAGGTCTACCGACTACCTAATAGAACCGAACTCCAATTATGTCAGTTTGGTTTTGTGGTTTGCTCCATTAATAATTGGGTTGGATCGGATTTTGTTATTTTAAACTGACCTGAACCTGTTTTCTCTTATAATTTTTGTGCCGGAAATGATAAATTTCATAGACTAATTGTATATAAAATAAAGTTGATTAAAAAAAATACTTGTTTTATCAACATAATCATTTTTATTGAGGTTACCCCTAGAGGTGTAATGTTGGTCGTACTGGCAAGGCTTGTGTACGTTAGGGGGTGGGGCCCATCACTAGCTTGGGCTTTAGCCTGTAATATTTCATTTTCTTTCTTTTTTTGTTTTCATTACAAAAAATCAAAAACTCAAAAAATAATGAAAATTTGAAGGGATAAATGACAAATTCAGTGATTGCAACAACAATTTGAAAAAAAAATCATTTTAAAATTTTATTCCTTATGAATAATCAATTTATACAAAAAAATATAAAATAATTAAATAAAATTGCAAAAAAAATTATTAAAAAATAGAAAATAAAAAATTACAATTGAATTGAAAAGGTTTACAAATAACTTACAAAGTACAAATAAAATTGAAGCTTTCAAAATTTCCAATGATCTAAAAAATTTTACCGGTCCCACTTTCCTCTTCTTCTAGTGATACATTGGATGACTTGTCATGCCCTCCTTTATCTTGTAGTCTATCTTTTGCATTTAACAAACCTTTTAGACAAATGTACATCTCTAATGTTTCATCTATCGTCCAGATTTGGCTCCTCCTCTCATCTAACAGATTAATACCCTGTTTTCTGCACTAAAATAATATCCAATGCTACTGTAGACATTGGAGGGGCTAGTAGATCATATGCCATGGCAGAAAGTATAGGACAATTATTTTTTATGCTTTCTACCAAGTTAAAATATCAAAATTTTCTATGTTGGACATCTAATGGCTAGTGCCAACAATATTTTGATAGCAAAAAACACTTTTACATTTATTGCACTCATGCTCTTTCCCATTACATCCTTGATGGTAAAATATTTACAAATATTTGGTTTTCTTTATTTCTTCTTCTTCTTCTTCTTCTTTATTTCTTTTGAAGGGGTTACACAACGGGGGGGGGGGGTAGCCCATCCCCCGACCTATAACTTCCCAACCCAAGTGTAGGCGGGATTTGATCCTAAGTCTCCTCTATGACCAGCAGGAGCCTTGTGTTGTTTTCTTTCTTGTTACCTTAAAATGTTTAGGGTCAGCATTAGATTAGATTGGGTTTAAGAGGGAGTCTGAGAGGAACAGACCATTTTAATAAATATTAATATCTAAAATTAATAAAAAAATCCAACTAACCAGGTAATTGCACTTGGGTCCTTGAAGTCCAATATGCCAATTTGGTATTTCAACTTGAATCCAAAGTTTCCTAAATTGCCAACTTTAACTTGAGACAAAGCCTCCTTCTTGTTGAAATTAAAAAAAAAAAATAGAAGTATGAGAGATTGAGAGTATTATAAGAATATGAGAATGAGAGTGTATTTGATTGTTGTTTTGAAGAAAATGGGTAAGGGTTAGGGTATTTATAAGGGTTAGAAATAATTGAATTAACAAAAGAAAAACTGTTATAAATTAACCATTTATAGCTGTTGAGAGGGGCATTTTGGTTATATATAAAGTTTATTTATCACTTTACTTGAAATGTCCCCTAAACTGACTATTTATTGCTGCTAGGGGTGGATTTTAGTCATCTTTTGCACCCCTTTTGGTAAAATAAACAAAATACCCCATCAAAATACCTACTTAATTATAGCTATTGCCTATTGGGCATATTTTTGCCATTATACCCCCTATATAGCCATTATATAATGGTTAGTTTCAGCTTGGTTGGACCATGCCGACATTAGCCCATATAGGCCATATGTGGCTCGACCATTTTTCATCTATAGTTATGTTATCAAAAAATAAAGTTTTCAAGTTATTATTATCATAGGTAATTATAAATTTCAAATATAAGTGGGTTAGGTCAAATCATGGTTTTAAAACTGTTATTCACTGGGTAGTCAAACTGTTCATTTCAACATTGGAACCGATCACTTATTCGGTTCTGTTTTTTACTTGACTCGGATTTTTCCAAAAAATCATCGAATCAGTCACTGAACTATTGATCTAGACGGTTGAACCGTTAAACTGTTCGACTTAGACAATGATTTTTTATTTTAATTATTTTTTTAATTTTGGGTAAATTATATATAAGTACCCTAAATTTTCAATTACAACACTTGAGTACTCTGAACTCTAAAAAATAAACACTTGGATTCATCCGTTAGTATTTCACTAGTTAAACATTATATAGTGCCAAAACCACTCTTCTATCAATTAAACTTATACGGTCTCATTAATATCATATATGGTATTAGTCATCATGGGAGAAGTGGCTAGTCCCTTGACTAACTTAATAACCTATACGGTATTAGGTAGGCCATATAAGTTTAACTAATAGAAAGGTAATTTTGGCATTATGTAATATTTAATTGACGAAATACTAATGGATGGACTCAAATGTCTATTTTTGAGAGTTTAGGGTATTCAAGTATTGTAATTGAAAGTTAAAGGTACCGATATTTCACTGCCTTTAAAGTATAAAGTACCTATTCGTAATTTACCCTTTGATTTTCTAAACTTATCCCAAATACATCCGTAGAGCTGTTCATAAAATAAAATAAGCTGACCAAACCAATTAAACCAAAACCGATTCAACCAGAAGTGGGTCAGTTTTAAAATGAAGTTGATCGGTTCTAGTTTGATAAATGTTATGATGAATCAATTCGGTTGCGGGTTTTTTTTTTTGACAGAAATATAAAAAAGTTCAAACTCGGTTTTTTGCAATTATTGATCGGTTTCGGTTGGCCTAATAATGAACCCGACAGTGTCGGTTTGGTTGGCACAAATAGGTAAAACCGAACCGACTCGATCCGTGTACAGCCCCAAGGCGGTTCAGTTTCCGGGTCGGCTCCTGAACCTCGGTCAGGACTAATAAATGGGACGATACTTTTTCCACTTCTGTATCATCCTCTTTTCCAACATCTGATATACTGAATGCCATGCTGCGTTTAGCCCGAAGTTTACTTGAGAGAACAACAAGTGGGCTTGCAAGACATAGAAGTTCTGCCTTGAAAACCCTAGCCATTGGTTTTCTTCAAAGGGATGAAGGATCAAAAAATGGTAACAGAAAACAGGAAGAAGGCTTTGTCTGTCATTTCTCTGGGTCAGCTTCAAGCCCTAGCTTGTCAATATGGAGGCGGAAAAAAGAGATGGGAAAGGAAGGTCTTATCATTGTTAAAGAACTTAAGAGGTTAATGTCTAATGCAATTAAGCTCGACCGATTTGTGCAGTCACATGTCTCTCGCCTCCTTAAGTCTGATCTTTTTGCGGTTCTGGCTGAGCTCCAACGCCAAGATCAAGTTTTTCTCTCTATGAAGGTATGGGTTTTAGTGAATTTGATCATTTCTAGTTTGTTCTTTTTGGTTTCTATTTGGAGTTTGACTTTTATGAAATGATAAAAGAAAAAACAATGTGGAGTATGGTATGGATTGTTTTCTTAGTTGTTGAATTCTTTTTTGCTGTTTTTTTTTTTTTTTTTTAATTTCATTTGTTTTCCTTTTGGTAACTAAAGTTTTTCGAGTTCTTTTGTAACATGGCAAAAGAATCGAGTGAATCATTCACCGGTCACCAAGATGGTGTTGTGACTATTAAGCTTTTTCCTTGTTCCTCGTCTTCCTACGTGAATTAGTTCCTATGCTTTTGGCATCTGGGATATGGTTGAGGCGTTGCAATTCAGATTTTCCCTATTAACACTTTCCTTGAGATCTCTTGACTGTGACTGTGATACTGGAAATTTGGAACCCTCTACGTATCCTAGCTTGTACTCTCCTATATGATAAAACACTAACAATGGACTCAAATTGTTAAATAGCAATAAGGTTATGATTTATGCAAATGTTTTTGATCCCCTGCACACAAAATGAAGTATAACCTTTCTTGAGAACTAAACTCAGCTATGCCTTATTCTAATCAATTTGGCTTGACTAGACACATCCTCTCCCACCAGTCTACATTTCATTTTTCAAAGTATTAAGTCCTCAAGGTCCTTAGCAAGCCTCCAATACGAGACGTAAAGGGGTTTTGAGTCTTTTCAGGGGGTTGGCAGGCCAAATGCTGATACCCCACCAATTTTGGAAAAAAAATACTAGAACAAGTTATAGGCTGTCAAACACCTCATACACAGCTTCATGCATATCGGGTGTATTGATACTTTGAACCTTGGCCCTAAGTTCTTTGTTTCTATTTCAACTGACATTCTTTTGCATCTCTCTTTTCCTTCTAGAGCCTTCTTTCAATGTTTTCTTAGAAAATAAGGAAATTATTTTAGGCATTATGATGATAAGGTCTTTGAGGCTCCGTACTGCTTTTACAAGACAAAGGAAGAGAAATGGAAAGACTTGATGTTAAATTAATCCTGAACATAATCCAGTATAATGGCTTACGACCTTTTTCCTCCTTTTTCTCCTGTATTTTTGTGGCATTCAGATAAATGCTTGATACCATATTTTGTAAGGACTAAGGAGTTCCTCAATAATATTCTGTATGTAAGGACTAAGGAGAATAAAAATGAGACCCCCGCAGGAGACATATAATAGTAATATCAACAGTCCAAAGAAAATTTTATTACACTTGGAGGATGTTGGATCCACCTTTTGAATGTTTCAACCAGGGGTGAACCATTCCAAATACCAACAAATAGATAGGAACTGTTGAATTATAGTTTCCTATTTGTTAGTCAGCAAATCATCAATTCACCATGTACAAAGTACAAACCATGCCAAGCAGCAGCTACAGAGGAGTTCTCTGAATTTTCGCATTGGTTCCATTGCTTATTCTAGAATGAGTCCTAAATATTTTCAAGTTCTCAGTTCTTGAAAGCTGTTCTGTTATGCTATATTCCAATCCCATTCCTTCACTTTATTTTCAACATTTAAACTGCAACTGTAATTTGTAATGAATTTCAAACATTTTGTTCTTAATTGTAATTTTTCTAGAACTTGAAATATTTCTAATCCATACTCAGCCTTATTCATGTGCTTAACCTTAGATGTCTCTTTGCCTTTCTATTTGAGTATAGTATAGATCACATCACATATTTTTGTTTTTTGGATGAATAACACTATTCATTAATGAAACAATGAAAGCTCATTTCCCATGAATGAGTTTCTTGTTATTTGACTGGTGATTCATCCTCTTAATTTTGATTTATGAGGATTAGAGTTAGCTAATATCCTTTATGTGGATTTCTATGACTGGAGATTGCTCATATGCTTAAATATATTAAATCAATTTAAGTTATCTAATTAATTAATTTATTGTGGATTTCTTTTGTGTTACTCAAGGCAGATTTATAATTTTGGGCAATCAGCCCTTTCTATGTACTTCCTCTTATTTGAGAAACTCAGAAAATCATAATTCATAAATAACATTTTTAATGCTTTAGCTCTTGACTTCTCAAGTTCTCATGACATGGACTCTGGTGCATCTCAGTTTTACAAAGTTGAAAACTGATTGGTTAAAGATCTTTGCAATCAGAACTCTTGCATTAATATTCTTTGGCCTAAACTAAGGATTTAAAACCTAAGTTGCACCCTAATCCATGCTATTGATGTAGCTCAAGTTACAAGAAATAATATGGAAGATATAACTTAAAAAGAAATAAAAGAGAAGAAAGTGGATGGATTTTTTTTTCGAGAAAAGGCAAAGTATAGGATTTCATTATCAAAAAGAAACCCTGTACAACTAGAGCTGGGTAATGGGAATGCAAGAAACATCCCTCCTATTTTGTTTAGACATATTGACCCATGGCTGTTTACAAAAAGAGTAGTATCATGTACAAAAAATGAGCTATAATTATTTCCTTTAAAGCACTTATGAGTTGCTAGTGAGAGTGTAACTTTCCAATTATTTTCTGCACCACTGACTATGTTGACCTTTCCTTGTTTTGGAAAATTCTTCCATTCCTTTACAAGCCTTATCCCAACTATATGGGGTTGGCTACATGAATCCTGTTTCGCCAATCTGTTCTATTTAAAGCCATATCCATTGTTAAATTAATAGTGCTTAAATCATTTCTTACTACTTCTACCAATGTCCTTTTTGGTCTACCCCAAACTCTTCTATCCCCTACAATGTGTAATAAATCACTTCTTCTAATTGGCGTAGTTGGTGATCTTCTACTCTTCTATGCACGTGCCCAAACCATCTTAGTGTACTCTCTCTCTAGTTTTACCACCTATTGGAGCTACTCTTAGGTTCCTATGGATAACTTCATTCCTAATCCTATCCTTTCTAGTTTTTCCACTCATCCATATAAGCATTCACATTTCTACCACACTCATTTTCTAGAGGTTTTATTTCTCGATTGCCTAATACTTTGCTCCATACAACATAGCCAGCCTTACAAGAGTTTTATAAAATTTTCTTTTTAATCTAAGTGTTATTCACCTATCATATAAAAGTCCTACCGCCTCCATTTTTCTCATCCTGCTCTAATTCTTTCGGTGACAACCTCTTCAATTTCTACCTTGTTATGAATTATTGAACCAAGGTACCGGAAATGTTCACATTGAGTTATCTCTTTTTTGTGGTAATAAAATATTTTTTTTTTTGAAAAAGAAAGAAAGTACAAAGGAGAATGACCAGAAGTCACATTAAGTTATCTGTTAGTCTCCAATCCTAAGTGTATTCTCATTTACACTCTTATTATTACTAAATTTACATGTCATATACTCTGTTTTAGTCCTACTTATTTAAAAACCTCTTGTTTTTTAAGGCATTCCTTTCCTGCCATATATCCCAAAAAACTGATGTAGGTAGTATGCTCCATGCAGCCTTACCTTGAAATGTTCACATTGAGTTATCTCTTGGTCTCCAATCCTAAGTGTATCCTTATATATACTCCTATTATTACTAAATTTATATGCCGTATACTCTGTTTTAGTCCTACTTATATAAGAACCTCTTGTTTTTAACGCATTCCTTTCCTGCCATAACCCAAAAAACCGCTGCAGGTAGTATGTTCCATGCAGCCTTACCCTTCATGCATAAATCTTGCAACCACCACCTCTTCAAAATTCTGCAACTGATGTTGGCCAGCATGTACCCTTCTCCGTTCTCCAAAGTACAAACATATAAGCAAAGTCACAATGGATGAGAAGGTAATCAACAGTTTCCAAGTAACCCTTACAAGACACACAATTTGTTCTGTTCAGATTCATTCCTTTTTTCATTAAGTTTTTTTTTTTTTTTTGGATCAGCAACACAAAGAAGATTTATTAGAGTACAATAAGGAATTGTGGGCAAAGAGAAAGCCCGAAATCACTTTCAATATTTACAAAACAGCCCATAAACATGGAATGTCTCTGAATGCCTTGTTTAGCTAACCCATCTGCCATGCTGTTTGCAGACCTCTTAGTCCACTTTATTTGGATTGTCATATCTTTAGAAACCTGCTTGAATCACCTGAATTCATTCTTTAACTGCCAAAGTACTCCTTCCCCCCTTTTCAGCCAGTCCACAACAATTCTGGAATCACCTTCAATAATCAATCTGTCAATCCCCAATTCTTTGGCTTTCTCCACCCCGTACACAGCTGCCAACAGTTCTGATCTCACCGCATCTCCATGTTGAATAGGGCCTGAAAACATGGTTAGAATATTTCCATTTTCCTCCCTGATTACCCCACCAATACCCGAAGGTCCAGGATTGCCCATGCAGCTGCCATCAAAATTTAATTTCTTCCATCCAGCACATGGAGGTGACCAGACCTCAATTATTTTTTGTCTTCTAGAGGATGAGTGAGCTATTGATCCCCATGAGCTAAAAAAATCTTCAATTTAAAGACTGCAAAAAGCTTTTAAGTTTTCACCCAATGTGCCACCCTTAACACAGCTTCCTTACTCCTTTCTTCATTAAGTTTTCTCTGGTAAGTACCTGTCTTTTACCCTTTTGTCTTCTCTGTTAAGGTCCACCTGGCTCTGTCATGGGGTGTAATTCCCAGTCATTCACATTTCTTTTGAACTGAAGTGTGCAAACAATGCTCCCGTTCTGAACTTGCATGCAGTCTGCTACTCTTGCATCTTCATCCACTGCTATTTCAAAAAGATCCAGAAAAAACATCCTTAAAGGGACTTGCACCACACCAACAATGCTTCCAGAATTTTACCTTCTGCCCATTTCCAATTTCAAACCTCAATCCTTTGTTGAACAGACTATACACCTGTTCTATTCCCTTCCAAACAGAGCAGCCATAAATTTGAAAGACATCTCCAGGTTCCCAGCTCATGTTTTTTTACGGCATACCTAGCCTGAATGACCCTCTTCCATAATTTACCCTCCTGTTCACCAAACCTCCAGGACTATTTTCTTAGATTGATTTCCTTCAATCTCCTTATCCCCAAATCTCTAGCCTTTTTCGGCTTACACACCTTTCTCCAATCAACAAGATGAAACTTCTTTTCCTTCTTCCATCCCTTCTATAAGAAACTTTTCGTTTTCTTTCTAATAGCAGATCCTATACTGGAATTGGGCACAAAGACAGAAAATATACAGATAACACACTCTTTAACAATGTATGAAATTTTATAAATAAAACAATTGATTACATGTAACAAGATTCAGGGACTCACTTACCCAAAGAAGATGGAATTCACTCTCTCAAGAGGGAACTTATTGAACTTTTGAAAGAAAAATTTTGGATATATAAAAGAAAAGGCAATATCTACATCTCTCATTTCCCATACTTGAAGTTACATGGATTTTCTATGGAAAAAAATATAGCTGTTGGAGCATTTAAAGCAAAACCAGCTGTTGACTGCTACTTAACTAAAGCCCCACTTGCAAACTAGCTGTTGGAAAACCATTGACTAAAATAGCTGCTGGAAACCTACTAGTGAGTTCAAATGTGGTTTCATCTTGGAAATGATTTGGTGCTTCTTGGCTCATGGTTTTAAGCTGTTTACCTATGTTAGCTTTTTCTCGGCAAAAAGCTGAAATATGTTTTTTCTCGGAATACCCTAGAGATTACTCTTTTGTGCTTCCTTGGCACATTAGTTGGTGTATTCTGCATATCTTTTATGGTCAGCATAAATTTGTTTGTTGAATCACGTTTCTTTCCCTTTAGTTGTAGGATATTACTCTATTTTGTCTCATAGATATGAAATGTAGAGAATGGCTCATTGTTCTGGTCTCACTCATCCTAGAATATAACAAATGAGCATTATTTTATTTTGTTTTTTTGCTGCGAGCATTACTTGAAAACTGGTTTAGTGCATTTTCAGTTTCATCTTGTGGTATTGTTTTTAGTGTTTATTTCTTTAATCTTTCTTTTTTTCCCCTACAGATATATGATGTGGTGAGAAAAGAAATATGGTATCGCCCAGATATGTTCTTTTACAGGGATATGCTTATGATGCTTGCTAGGAACAGAAAGGTGGATGAGGCCAAGAGAGTATGGGTGGATTTGAGGAGGGAGGAAGTCTTGTTCGATCAGCACACTTATGGAGACATTATCAGGTCCTTCTTAGACAGTGGATTGCCTTCTGAAGCAATGGAGTTGTATGAAGAGATGAGGCAATCTCCTGATCCTCCAATCTCTTTGCCTTACCGTGTTATCTTGAAAGGGCTCATACCATATCCTGAATTGAGGGAGAGGGTAAAGGAAGATTTCCTGGATCTGTTTCCTGATATGATCGTCTATGATCCACCAGAAGATCTATTTGATAATTCAGAAATTGATAAGAGAGAGCAAAGATGATTAAGGATGCCAAATTCATTACAGATGCACCCAAATTTTGCTTTCTTATGCAGAGTTCTGAAAGGCAAAGGCTCATCAGAGGCAGAACTTTCACAAGGGAGAGATTATATACGGGTACTTGGACATTATTCAGTGTTTATGAAGGCCTTGTAAGAACACACAGAATCGTGTTTGGTGAATACATCCAATCTAGCAAACATTTTGGGTTGTGGAGCAAGTTATTGAAGGTGAGATGTCTTGTTGTGACAGAAGAAAAGAAGATGGTCAGCCCAATCTATGTCGCCTATACAAGGCAAGGACATGACTGGACAATTGTCTGTTTAAACTAAGAGTTGAAATATCCAACACAATACGACACCCTTGTACAGGTATCTGGGTGTCATAGAACCCAGTATGTTACTTTTAAAACAGTTCTCTCTCTCTCTCTCTCTCTCTCTCTCTCTCTCTCTCCCTCATTTAATTACCTTATCATTTGATAGGGCAAAGAAAAGTCGAGCATAAAAAAAAAGATTGAAGAAAGGTGTATTTGACATGATTTCATTGTTCTATTATTGTAGGAGAGCTAGAATGGCCTGAGCCAATGCAAATTCATGCAATCATTCATCAAAAGAAAAAAAAAAAAAGCAAATTCATGCAATCTTCTTGATGCTGGTTATCAGTGGATGTCAATTTCTTTGCACTCGAGTGTGGCATTGGCTTCTGCTCTCTAGGATGGAGCCAATAACCCAAATTGAAGTTGGATTTCGTTATCATCATTGGTCACATTATTCCAAGAAAGTTTCAAAGTAAAATCCCGAAGACAATTTTAAAAGATGTGTAATAAATTGGTGGAACTCCCAAAAATCCCACAAATACACCGTTAGTACCAAGTCTAAAGTTTAAATTACACCTAGGGCCTGTTAGATAGCGCTTAGCGCTGAAGTCTTAAAGAGTACAAAAAGTGCATTTAAGAGGGTTCGGTTCACTCTTTAAATCTTCAGCCTTAATTTACAGATCACCCCAATCCTTTCACACAATGTTGTTTTTGTTTTCCAAATATACTCTCGAAACAATTTCTACTTTGAGATCTCATGTGGACATGGAACAATAATCTCTTTCTTCTTTCTTTCTATGATATTATCAATAATAATGTTTTAAACAAAAATAATAAAATATAAAAATAATATTAAATATTAACATGCTAATAAAAATAATCAAACAATAAAACCCAATGTTTTAAAAACTAACCCAAAATTGAAATCGCTTTGGCCATCAGTTTTTGGGTCAGTAGTTCAACCACCTGATTCGAATGGATGGCCCATCACAATTTAAAAAATAAAAAATAATTAAAATGAAAAACGATAAAAAACCATTCATTGGGTCAAACGGGTTGACCGTTTGAATTAATGGGCCGTTGATCAAGTCAACATTTTGACCATAAGATTGGGTTTGGGGTGAAATAGAACCGATTGCCTAGATGGTTTTCAGGCCGAATAGTACGATTGTTCGTGTCAACAACGGTTTGAAAACCATGACCAAGTCAACACTTTTCATACCCAAGGTTAAATGGTCATTTGTTAATTTTCAGAATTAAGGGAGTAAATGATATTCGAAAATCCAAATTTGTATTCGAGATTGGATATAATCGAATCGAATTCAGATGATTCGAATGTTATTAACCGTCGGATTCGAATAAGACATCTATACCGATTAATTTATCGAACCGAATTCGAATAACACTTGATTCTATTATTTTATTAAAGTACATTGAATGATGGCTTTTAAAAAGCTTTTTTTTTATATTATTTTAATAGCAAAAGTTGAATAAAGACAAACTATTTCAGAGGCTATGATGACTTTTCGAATAAGAGGCATGTCTCATTAGTATTATTTTAACATTTGTTATGATGATTTCTTGAATAAGAAGCATGCCATTTATTATCTCACACTATTTGCATTGGAATCATTTCAACTTTACTATTCACTTTCTTCTTCTTCTTCGATTCAAGCTTGTGTTTCTTCTCAGTTCTTCTTCGGTTCATAGCTGCATTTCTTCTCCGCCTTTTATGGTTTGTTATAGCTTTACAAGTTTAAACCTTTTTGACTTTTTATTTTTGAATTGCATTCTCTCTTCTTCTCTCTCTCTATGCATTTTGTAGAGTTGAATATGGAGATCAACAATCTCTCCATTGTAGAATACACCAATAGTGATCTCTCTATGCTTGTTGCAGAACACACCAACATTGCAATACCAAATCGATGGCTATTATTCAAAAACTTTTTTTTATTTGTATTTTTTTTTTGTTTCTTAGAGGTTGGATCAATAGAGAATGAGAAAAAATTTTGAACTGGGTTTCTTATTCATTTGGTGAAGTTGGGATAGATTGACATTAAAAAAATTTTTGAATTCGAATCGAAATCGAATATTCGATTATATAAACGAATTCGAATTCGACTTAGTGTTCTAAAAAACCATCGAATATCAAGTTGAATTCGAATGTTTATATTTTTAATCGGTTTCAAATTCAAATCAAGCTTGATTGGATTCTAATTTGCTCCGTTTACACCCCTATTCAGAATTCAACATTCAGATTTCATAATCACATTCTCTACATTTAGACCTTAGTACTAAGAAAAGTTCACCAACTCCAATACACCTCTTAAAGTAATTATTACAGTTTCAGAGTCATTCCGATTTCAGAATTCAATGCAAACGAATAAACCCTTAATATATTATTATAGTATAATGTAGTGCCCTTTTTTTGAGAAAAGTTTAACCAAATTTCATTAAAGTAGGAAAGAAAAGATGAGAGGAAGTACAAAACAGGGGAGAACCCCAAAGAGATTACAAGGGAGGAAATTTGTCATTATACAACTTTTCTAAGCAAGTACCTAGTTTAGCTAAGTCATTTGCAATAGGATTTAGCTCCATTGGGATCCAAAAAAAATTTGCATTTAGATAGTTCAAGGAATCCCTTGCTTTTTCCAAGTAATGGCTCAACCTCTAAGGACCCCTTCCTTGTCCCTTAGCCATTTAATGGTATTTGCTGAGTCTCCTACTATGGAGAGATTCTAAATACCCAAGCTTTTTACTATTCTGATTCCAGTGAGAGCAACCAACACTTTAGGCTTAGTTGAATTAGTAAATCCAATTGGGCCATTGAAAACCTAGCAAATATTACCTCTTTCATCTCTTAAGGTGCCCCCAATTCTAGCTAAACTTGGATTAGCTACAACACTCTTGTCAAACTATAAAATCATCACACCATCATTGAATATTACTGGTTACCTTAAGGGAGTTTGAGTGGAGTGTGAAGATAAAAGAATAGTTTGTATATTTATGTTAAGATATTCAGTTGAGAGATCTTGGAACAACTCTGGATTAGCCACCCGAAAATTACAGAGATAAGAAATATATGAAATTAACTCATTGAGAGTTCTGAGTTTATTTTCAAATAAACGCTTGTTTCTTTCCTCCCAAACTCCACAAATTACTGCATGTAACACCGTTTGCTAGTAGGCTTTGCCTCTTCTACTTAGGCCATAGCCTTGCTACTAATGAATAAAGTCTTGAATGTGCTTTGGGAAAACCCAATGATAACTTGCTAGGTTTAAGAAGTGCAACCAGACCTTTTGACTGAACTTACAATGAATAAGAAGGTGATCAACTGTTTTTCCATCTTGCATACACAAGCAACAGGCATGAGGAGAAATGTAAAGCCTTCCCAAGATTTTCTTTGTAAGGAGATCACATGTGTTTATACTATGTAGACAAGCTTCCCATACAAAAAAAAAAAAAAAGAAAGAACTCTAGAAGGGATGTTTCTACACTAGATTTTCTTAGAAGGGAACAATGAGTTGTCTTCCCCTGTTGTTAGAGCTTTAAATAGACTTGGAAGAGAAATCACCATTTGGGTGTAGGGTCCACACTTAGGTATCAGGGGAGTGGGGGGAAATGTAGACCTCTTTATGACTTTGATGAGAGCCACAAGATCTAAAAATTCTTAGTCCCTTAAGGGTCTCTTTAGCTATAAATTCAGGTTGTTGACAGTAGGAAGGTCATGGATACAAGAGGAAACACTTGAGTCTTTGCCTAGGGAAATGTTGAAAAGTCTGGGAATGAGGCTGCTAAGGTAGAATTCCCCCACCAAAGGTATTTCCAGAATTTTATTTTAGAACCACTCCCCACTCTATTTCTAACAAAAGGAAAGAAGACAGAATGTGAAGAGACTATACCTTTCCAAGGGTTTGAAGAGTTTACCCAGTTTGAAAGGAGGTTGCTATCCCATCCGTTGTTTAATCCATATTTGCTTGTGATGACAACTATCCAAAGAGCAATGGATTCAATGGGGAACCTCCACAACCATTTACCCAGGAGGGAAATGGTTTTTTCTTTTAGATGTCCAACTCCTAGACCCCTTCCTCCTTTGGCTTGCAAACTTGATCCTACCTTACAAATGATTTCTTTTTTCCCATCCTCCATCCCACAGAAAGTTTCTTTGAATTTTTTCAATTAGATTTGTTACTTTCATCGGAATTTGGAACATTGAGAGGAAATAGATAGGCAACAAGTTTGTTAGGATGGCCTTTAGAAGTGTAAGTCTTCCCCCTTTAGATAGATCGTAGATAACATCTCTTCTAGGATGCTAACTTCTTCTCACACTTCTCCATCATTGGCCCCTAAAAGTTTTAGGATCTTGGATTTCCTCCAAGAAGCATCCCTAAATAGGAAATATGGAGGTTTTCCACTTTGCATTCCAACACTGATTTGAACTATTTTAGAAGATCCTCTGTTACAGAATTTATTGTTACAATGCTGCTTTTGCTAAAATTGACCCTCAAACACGTGATTATTAATTCAAAGCATCCAATTATCCTTTTCACGCTGGTGGTGTTTTCTATGGAGGCATCTGGAAACAATATGATATCACCAACAAATTGTAAATGAGAAATAGGAATCAAATTCCTCCCTATTTCAAACCCTTTCATCAGATTAAGAAGGTTGAATTTTTCAGAGAGGTAATTGAAAATATCCATCACTAGAGTTAAGAGGAAAGGAGAGAGTGGGTAGTCTTGTATGAGCCCTTTACTTGCCTTAAAGTAACCTTTTAGTTCCCCATTAACCATCACTGGAAACCAGGAAGAACCAATGGAGTCTTTCTTCCACATGATCCATCTACTACCAAATCCTCCAAGTTTTAAGCAGTCTAAGATGCAATCCTAATCTACTTTATCATAAGCTTTTTCGATGCCTAATTTAACTAGAAGCTTGGGATTCCTAGAAGCATTTTTGTCTTCTACACACTCATTTTGCAATTAGGATGTTGTCCACAATTTGTCTTCCTTTGACAAAAGCAAATTGGTTTGGGGATATGAGCTCTCTTAAGACTTCTTTGAGCCTCTTTGCTAACACCTTGGCCAAGATTTTGTAAATGTTTCCTACCAAGCTTATTGGTCTAAAATCCTTGACCTCTAAAATCCTCATTTCTTTTGGATAAGACAAAGAAAGGTTGAATTTAATCCTTTGTTTACAATGGTAGAGGAGTAGAAATGCCTAAAGAACTCTATTAGATCTTCTTTAACAATATCCCAACACTTCTAAAAGAAGTACAAGGGTAAACCATCTGGCCAAGGAGCCCTGTTTCATTCATGCTAAACAATATCCCAGCACTTCTTTTCAGCCAAGACTTATTTTCTAAAGGCAGGGTTAGGACTTCTCAATTCCTCAAGAAGTGGTTGCAAGCTCTTAGAGTACAAGCTTCTCAAGAAAAACAAAAAAGCTTATGTGATCTCCTCAACATTCTTCACTTCCCTTTGATCCACTTTCAATTTAGAGATGCAATTTTTACTATGCCTTCCTAAAGTGTAAGCATGAAAGAATCTAGAGCTATTATCTCATTCATTTAGCCATCTCACTCTCCATCTCTTCCTCCAATAAATTTTTTTCTCTTCTGACTACCTTCTCCCACAATTTCCTCAAATCAACTCTTCTACTTTACTTTAGTCATTTAGAGATCCACTTTGTTCCTTTATGTCTAAATCTTCTAGCTCTAAAAGAATATTCCTTTTCTCATCTTTAGAGGCTTTAAATTCTTCTTTTCCCCAAGCTTTTAACTTTCTTTTAGAAATTTTAGCTTTTGTAATAACTTGTAACCAACCCATCCCTCCTGAAGATCTTGCTGCAAGAATTGCTATCCATTTCTTATCCCTTATCCCCTACAAGGAGAATAAAAAAAGAGAGAGGACAGGAAGCTAGTATAATGTAGTTCTATGAACCCGCATTTAAAATTGATAGGAATTGAATAAAAAAGGGGAGCCCAATGCACGAAGCTCATGTCATTGCCGGGTTTGGGGAGTGAATTAAAAGAGGATAGATGGGGAATTAAATAACAAGAATTAATATATCTTAAAAGAAGAGTTAATTATGGGTCGTGGGTGTGAGTTTAAAATTTTAAAATTTAAAATAAATTAGAATCAAAGAAAGTGTTAAAACTGTATGTGCCTATGCTTTACCTATAATAATATGAACTTTAAATTTAGCATTATTAATGCATCTTTGAGATTCTTTGTGAGTTCTTCTACTGTAATCATGTGTATTCTAGTCATATCATTGTATCCAACACAAAATAGAGCTTTATCTAAGCTTTTACTCCAAACTTTCTCTTGGTGTTCAAAATTTGTTGTATGAGAATAGTCAGTGAGTGAAGTCTTAAGTCTGTGTTTGGCTTAAGCTGCAGATATGAGAGTGGAGTTGAATACGATTATGAAATTAGCCCAAGAGGGAAGAGTACTACCAGCCTGCCCCCATAAAGGCATTAAAGTTTTTTTTTTTTTTTTTTTTTGGTAATTTGAGCTTAGTCCACTTCAAAATTCATAATGTGATTGTATAGTTTGGGTCAGTGCTAGGGGGAAAGATTCCCAATTCACCGGGGGGAGGGGGATAAATACATTTGGGGAATTACTTTATGAATTTTGAGGTGGAGTGGACTGTAAAAAGGCCCTTCTTTTTTACATATCCTAAGTTTTTAGAAATTGACTTAAATATACCTTGTGCACTAACCCATTGGATTTAAAGATACCCTCCATCAATAAAATGTTACATGTGAATTCATTTACAATTTTTAAAATCCTATTTTACCCTTATATCCCTTTAATAGATGAGACTTTTCCTCTCTAGAATAATCCCTCTTCTCTCCACTAGGGGTGGATTTGAGCCGAGCTGAGCCAAACATTTGGCTATTTGAGCTCGACTTGCCAAAACTCGAGCTAGAAACTTGAGCTCGAATCGACTCGACTCAAAAGYTTGTACATTCGAGTTCGACTTGGATTGAGATTGACTATGAGCCACGCTTCCTATAAAAAATAAAAATTATACATATAAAAATTATTTTTTATTTTACATGCAAAAAATTAAGAATTATAAAAAACTATTTATCATGATACATATAAAAA